AGTACCAAGTTGGAGGAACATGAAAGGGGCATTTACTGTTGGGGGAGAGCTGAAAATACCTGTTGTTGTACCTCTGGTTTTACAAATCACTCATCAAAGGGGCTGTCTCTGCCATATGTTGTTCAAGTGAAGAAGAATGTTTACAGTGTTTCCTCACCTAAATGAAAACTAACCTGGATTATAGAACCCTGACTTTTAATATCTTATATTTGACCAAATGTAACCGCACCAAGAATGCAAAATCTATCTTTTTTATGTTGATCCATACAGACTAAGATTCAGATTCCCACAGTATTTAACGTGCAGGAGTTCTCGATATTACAGTTTAAAAGGGCCCTTAACAGAGTGTAGAATTAGAAAAAAGTGATCTGCTGTTCCATGGACAATGGCTTTAATGTTCAACACATTTAAAGAATGTTGATTTCTGTATCAAATCTCTCTTCAAGCTTACATGAAATAGAAAAATACAATATACAAACAAGTACTGTCTTTATCCGTATATAAAAAGAACCAACATGATCTCACTTCCTGTGTTGTTATAATTCTTGTTGGGAACATGGTTGACCTTTTCTTTATAAAATACATTGTGTCACCCTTGGTTTTGTAGGCGCTAATTACAAAGTGGACACATATGGCTCAATTTAGCACGCTAATGAGAATCTTAGGAAGCTGCTGGGTGAGAGTGAAGGGCCTCTTTTGTCTCCTGGATTCCCATCTGGGTCCCTAAAAAGAATGAAACCATAATCATTGATCATCAGCCCAGGTGATGGGGTTTGTGGGGTTTCTTTGGAAGTTTTTCCTTGTACGATGTGAGGGTCTAAGGACAGAGGGTGTTGTATTGTCATATTGATATTATAACTGTGAAGTCCACTGAGACAAATGTAACATTTGTGATATTGGGCTATATAAATAAACATTGATTGATCATTGATTGAGGTGATCACTAACTTATTGCTGCAGTTGTAATTAAATGGTAAATGTATCACTTGTATTACATACACCCAAAACAGAGACACACTTCTATTTCTTCTTTGCTTACTTCCTGTAGAGCCTAAATGACATATCTATCAAATGTAAATCAGCGTCTTTTAGGTAATTATTTTCACTTAGCTTATTAACTTAACAGTATACTGAGATGTTTGTTGATTTTGGTTTCATTCTTAATTCAAACACTACATTCTTGAGCTCTGCCTTCTGTAGTTAGATGATTTTTTTTGTCTTGTTTCTAGCCGCCTGTAGATGGCAACACTAGGCTTCTTCAAGAGCATTCCACTGTGGAATTATTGTTGTTTGAAAAACAACATTTGTTTGACATTAACAAAATAATAAATCCTGAAATAAGTTAGTAACGCTTATTTTTAAGTTACAATAGTGTTGGCCTCAATACAAGCTGCATTCAGTAAACATGCACACATTTCCAGGTCGAATGCAGTGGAGGACTAGGCTGTAAAATATGTTATTTGAAACAGTTTGCTGATGAAAAATGCTGAGGATCATTGTTCATGTGAGCTCTACCCTGAAGAAACAAATTATCCTACAATGAATTCTCAGTTAATCTTCTCTCTTTTTTGTAATAATGTTGTTTTAACATGTTGTCCTCCTCAGCACTTATACAGTTGGTGTTTATGCTGTCTGGTGTTTTCTACAGAGAGCAGAGCAGGTTCAGCTCAGCGGCTGAATGGACGGTCTCTTCAGTGCCAACGACTCACCCGGCAGGTAGCAGAGGCTTTCAGCGGGGCCAGCCTGCAGCAATCAACTTAGTTAGAGGGCTCTCTCTGTAATTGCCAACTATTACAATATGTGGCATGAGGGGTTCAACACTATTTTCAAACATGATGAAATGGCATCAAGGCCTCCTCTCACATCCAGTGATAATTGAACAATTAAACTTTAGCATACAAATTACCTCTTCATATGGCATAACTAATTACTGAGGCAGGCCAGTCACAAAGAAGGCTCTCCAAGGTTGATACCAATGAATTTTTTACAATTTCACGCTTCCTTTTTGAGCCCAGGTTTAACTGGGTTTATTATATCAATGGGATTATTGGTTATTATGTTTGTTAGAATTTTAGCATTTAGGTTTTTAGCAAAAACACCAATAGAGTTATTATAACTCATTTTCAGAGCCTTATTTTGAAAACCTCTTTTCAGCACCCATGGTTATCAGGTGAGATTGTCCTAATTATACAGGTGATTGAGACCCAGGAACATTTTCAGACCATTTACTTCAGGTCATCCAGCTGCAACCCCTATTAAACAACTTGATTAGACATGATTTAAATCACCTGGTTTGATTGGGGGCAGTTAAGCTCTTTATACTCTTCACTGTAAAATGCTAATTCTCTCTGAAAAAAAGGGAATGGACAAGAATCCTCTGAGCATATGGAGAATCTCTCATATCAATAATTCAAAGGAAATGAGCAAAAATTAGTGAGCAGAGCATCAGCGGTGTCATGTAACCATTACTTCTGCAAATGAGATATTTGAATTGAAAGATTGAAAATGGAAATATCATGAGAGTGAGAAATTATCTTTTTTTTTTACAGTACTAGAAACTGATCTGCTTGTATGACAGATTGTGAAAAAACGTGAAATTCATACCACTATCATTCCCAAGATTATGCTTGTTTCCTTTTACTAAGGTTACTAAGCCCTAGTAGATAAGCCCCCCAGGTAAGAACCCTGATGACTAATTACACTTCAGAGGGGACCTGAAAACCCCTCAGTAACTCCGCACATAGCAGAGCTCTTCAGGTGCATTAGGTGAAAATGGCATTCATGCTGGTAGAACCAAGGCTTCAGAAAGCACTGCAGTGGACCTGAAGTGGGCCTGTTTTCAGCCAATGACAAAAGACTGAAGACATTAACATGAGTCTTGCAGCAGCAGTATGTATAATGACTCCAAAATAAGCAGTTGCTAATCCATCTGCGAAATACTTCTTCATACATAGCCTCAATGCCTTAATATCATGTTTCTAGCCAGGGTAAAGTGTGTTCATGCACTCATGATGACAATGTTTGACACTCCTCCTCAGCGGACAGTCAGAGATGAGACAGATTATGAATTTGATATTAACTTCAAATGAAAAGGCCAAACTAGGAGCACAAAGCACATTTAATATCTAAACGTGGCTGCTCACACACACACAAGTCATTTGCAAGTTCCAATACAAGATGTGTTGATATGTGAAGGCACAAGATGAAAATGATTGGAAATGTATTTTGAGGCGCTGATTGTAGACAATATTAAACTGCACAAAGAAGCTTTTTTTCTCGAATTCCTGCGGCAGTTCAGCCAGTATTGACTCTGCTTTAATTTAATATCTATTTATTTCACTCCATTGTAAGGATTTTATTGAGGTTGCGCCTGCTTTATCGCTCCGATCTCCCCCCAGAAGTGAAGGTCAGGAGAGGCAGACTACCTCTGTTTATTGGCTTCCATTGAGCCCATATGAGCTGATTTGGCTATCTGCTCTTGATATTAAGCTCTTTCATGGTATTCTGTGCTATCAGGATATTGTTTATCACCACATTGAGATATTCCGTGTGTATTTTCTTGTGAATTAAATATTCTTCATCACTTTTTTAATATCCTCTATGTATTTCAAACAGGATGTGAGGATCCTGCTTTATGTGGAAGCAAATACTAATCTCAGAGGAAAAACACAATATGCAGTACATTTCACAAGTGTTCTTATATGCTTAGAAATATAAAGTCTTATTAGTCAACTAGTTTTCTCTATAATATTGTATTAAGTCTGCCCTTTGTACTGTCAAGGCAGTGAATAATACTTGTATTCATTAATTTCACTATCATTTAACACAGCTTTATCATACAATTAATCATATACATTAGAATAAATTGGAGTATGATTATGATATTTCATGTAATCCAACCATACCAAAACAGTGAAGCAACTATATTACTATATTTTTCCTTATTTCTCTGTTACGGCCAAACATTAACATTATGACTCATTTTCCTCTCACCTCAAATCCTAGTTGTGATCATATATGTAGCGTAGCTTGCACTGAACTACAACTCCTGCATTGTGGGACATACTGATAAATGCAATAAACCTCATAATGTTGTTTATTCAATTTCTCTTAAAGCACCTTGAATTGCCTTGTGTTGAAAGGTGCTATATAAATAAACTTGCCTTGCCTTAAAGCTGTAGTAGTTCTACTTTCAGAGTCAGAACTAAACATGGAGAAGCAACGTTCCGTTATTATGCTCCAAATATCTGGAACAAACTCCCAGAAACCTGCAGGTCCGCTGCAACTCTGACTACTTTTAAATCCAGACTGAAGACTTTTCTTTTTGTCGCTGCTTTTAATTGAACTATTCATATCTTAGACTGCACTGTAACTTTTATCCATGTATTTTTTCTTTTAATGTTTATTTTATTAGCTTTTCTTTTTAATGACTGATTTTAAATGCCATTTTCTTAATCTCTTTCATTTTTTGTAAAGCACTTTGAATTGCCTTGTGTTGAAAAGTGCTATATAAATAAACTTGCCTTGCCTTGCCTTACTTTGGAGACTATAGGCTTTTCAATGTAAATAATAAGGAATCAAATCTTGACTCTCCATAAATCATAATTAAAAAGACACCAATAACAAAACAGGCAAACTGGCAAGAGGAACCTATTTGGACATACAGCAGAACATCATTTCTTAATGTGCAGCCAACTATATATTTACGTAATCTTGATTGCATGTGATCCATTACTACCAAGCCAACCATGAGTATTCATCTGCAAATACTTCTTGTTTACAAATGCCACTGCATGCATATCACATGTAGTTTATTTGTGGATTATGTATCCACTGTGGTGTTGTTGTACTGCATTTCTTTCCATAACATCTTGTCACATGGAAATAACAGGAATTGTTCCCTAAATGCATCACAAAAACACTGCTGGGACGAGTGACGTGTCCTGACGTCATGTCGTAACATGATGCTGCAGGTGGTGCACGTGGTATGTTGTTTACGTCTTCCAGGAACGCTGGAAGTGCAGCTGGAGAGAAAGGGGGGGGGGGAATTGTGAAACAGCTTTCCTTCATAGAGTTACATTGCTCATCATTTGGAAAAAGACCAGTAGAAGTACGTTAACGTCGTGTAAAATGTCGAGCTGAACTGCCTCATCTTTGCTCTTGATCGGCACGAGACTTCCTCGGTATGTATTGTTTGTGTTCAGAGCTCGTGCCAGGCATGTCTTTTGTTATTTGTTCTCTCAACAGGGTCCTCAACTTCAAATTACAGCGTTCATATGTTGTCAACAAAGATGTAACAAGTAGCAATGTAGCAGTTAGCATGCTTTCAGGAGGCTGTTAAAGCATAACAACAATGCTGATGGTGTTTATAGTTAAACTCATGGTATGTTAATAGAACACCATGTTCTAAACACTGTTGACATTCAAGTCCTGCTGTAGGTAACTAATGGAATCCAAACATTTACAGCTATTTATTTCCTTCAGTGTGTATGTTCTTTCACTGGATAGGCCTATTTCCTCTCTTCGTCAAACTGCTTAGTCAGTTAAATGTCATAATATATTTAATTTTTTCAGATATAGAATATAATGTCTCAGCTTGGAAGCCTGTTCACCCATATCATCTCCAAATCTCCTGAAAGTGTCCAGGACCAGAGCCCACACCGGACACCTAAACTACCTGACTTTATTCAACATGTCAGGTAAGTCCTTTGGACATTATAACTGCAATAATACATATGTGTATATGAAGAATGTATTAATTTGAAAGAGATGTTTGAAGTTTTGATGAAACCACAGGGAATTCTTACCAAACTATGCAGTTCCCTTTACCTCTTCAGTGTTTTACCATATTGTTTTTTATTTTACAGCTGCCACCTTGCTTTTGTATTCTCATTAAACCTGATAATCCTGCTGTCGTACACTACCTGACCAGTATTTAACAGCCGACAGACACAGTTAGCTACTAGCTGGTGAACATAGTTGAGAATTGAGCAGCTAAAGAGCCAGATATTACAATCAAAATGTTTTATGTCTGTTGGAAATGCCAACAGTTTTGTAACAAAAGAAATGTCATAAAATGTACATTTTATCATTACAGCTTGTTCCACTGCCCCTTAGTGGCCAATATAAAAAATATATATGAAGCTTTAAAAAGTGTTACAGAAAATAACACAATAACTTATTTCCTTTTTCTATGTATTCACTGTAGAAAACTCACTGGAATAAGAAAGGAAGATGTTTACTGCAACCTGCGTATCCCTGACAAGCTGCAGTCTGCCAAAGATGACATAAACATTGTTATCCTCACAGGTTGGTATCTAGAATAAAACATGGCATTACATGATACATCTGTGCAACCAATCTATAATACTGATATTTTGGTATAGGAATCAATATGAATGTTGTGAAGTGCAGTGAAGCGTTTTTTCACAGCAAACATTATTAAAAAAAAGCTACTTTTACCATTATTGATGGCTCTGCTATATTCAATGCCCTTGTAAGCCATGACAGTGTACCAACAAGCGACTTACAATGCTTGAACTAAAATAGCTAAATGGAATTCAGACATCCTTAATTGTATTATGTCCTACATAATCACATCACAGATTAGTTGGAAAGTTTGACAAATGTGATCACAGCATTATCTATTTCCGAGGTTAAGCAAAAGGTCACTTTATTTAAGAAGGTTCATATTGTTCTGTGCTAACTCCCCTCTAGCCATTCATACATCTAGCAATATCACAATACATATCACTGTGGTTATTTAAATGATATGTGATGTAAGATTTAATCCATTTTGCCATGAGGCCTTAAGAAAAATATTAGCTACAGTATCTGGTTTTATACTATTACGCTGAGTCTTTAAATCTTCACTTTTCTTCTTTTCATTAAGGCCAGGGGATCTTCTGCATAGATGTGAAACCCTGGAGAGGTACAGTGTCCGCTCACAACCAGAACTGGCATTTGCAAGTGAAAGAAGAGGACCACAACGTAACCAATACCTGCATTGAGCAGATTGAGGATCCCCTCAAAGCTATCATGGTAAAACAAAATTCAGCTGTAACGTTGAAATGCCATCGTGAAAACCTAAATGTCAAACTGTCTGGCACACTTGTGTCCAAGGTCCAACCAATTGTCCGGGACATTGTTTTCATCTGAACTCCAGCCGGGTGAAGAGATTCTGAGTCACCACAACAATTTATATGGAAATTTCAAACACTACAGCGAGGCTTCCTAAACTTCCCAAGTGGTTGCTCTTCATTTGAAAGGCTATAATTATGCTGAAAGGGGGGTGGATGTGGGGGGGTGAAAGCAGGCAGGTGCCTAAACACAGCTGTCACCTTATGTGCTTGGGTCTGTTAGGAGTCATTCATTTCCATCTCTATAGACGCTCAATTTAGACTGGGAGCTTGACAGAAGAGTCTGATGGCAAACACACACTGCATTATTTAAAGAGTTCTGCTTGAATTGGACATATTAACTTCAATAATCAACACAAAGCAGATACAGCTCCAACATATATGCTAATTAAAAGTTGTATAATTTACTAAAGTGGGTCTCTTTAGACACTTAGGATTAGACATCTGCATTTGTGTGTCTCTAGATAATTATATATTTGTTAAGCACAGAGGCAACCTGTATAAACAATATGGCAAATGTGTCTTTTCAGGGTGAATATAGTCCTGGAGTTATATAATTAGCCAATTAAACTATCAGCAGAACATTTATGAATAACAGCTGCATAACTTGCATTCCTAAACTCTTCTTCTGTAGACCAAGACGGCTAACTTCTGTGGCCATTTGAAGCGAAGTGGAGTGTCAGTGCACCAAAGCCTCTTCTTCCCCAGGGTTATCTTCCTCTCCCCAGACTGCGAGCTGGATGAGGAGCTGAGGAAGAAGAGGGAGCTGGTCCTCCAAAGCCAAATAGACGACTTCCTCAGATCTTTCAGGGCGGGCTACATGGCCTGGATATCCGACTCTCTGACTCCATCCTGGCTCTCTGGTGAGTGGTTTGCTAAAAGATAAACATGAATACTTAAAGGGACTTAATATATGTTCTAATACTGAGGTAATCTGCTAGTGGATGCTTGTTTTTAAATCAGATGGTTTTAAACTTAGACAGAATGAAAAGGACTGCTGTGTAGGTATAAAGAAAAGTTGTTGAATTAGCATGTTTTCAATACTAATCCACTTTGTATAAGCACATTTTTAATAAATAAATAAGCAGTTGTTCTTCATTGTAGAGCAGTGGCCCACCTAATCTTGTCTCGAAAATAAAACGACATATAGTCTTTGAAACAAGGCGCTGACCATTAATCTAATTGTTTCCTGGTTTACATTTTCAGGTGGAATTTGTTGCATGTCATCCCATTCATCTCTAATCATTTCATATCATTTCTCTTCTGTTGACCCTCTGAGAAAAGACAACAAAATTCCCCCAAAATACAAAAATGATCTTGCCGACATAAAACATTTGTACATTTGTTTCATAGATAAAAAACACTTTGAGTACTCAATAACCCGACTTTGTAATATTGAATTTTTTTTTAACATTATAATGAATTTCACCACAGAATAGGAATAAATAATCAGGCTTCTGACAGGAATGCTAGGTCAACTTCTGTTATGTTGTTTGTTGTCCTGCAGGTCATCTGTCGTACAGGCAGATGGAGTCGGTGCGGGAGGTCCTGAGGAGGGTGGGGACGTGGGATCTGGTGCGCCTGCATTGTGGCGAGCAGCTGAAAGGAGACTTCCAGGGCTGCCAGTACATCGCTCTCAATCGGCAGGAGACAGACACGCTGGAGTTTTCCAGACTCAAGACCCTGTCGGCTGATTCGCTGTGGGCCCTGCTGGGACACGCTCCTCAGGTCAGTCCACTCTGAAGAGCTATCAGGACCAGAAAGGTCGTCTGTAAATGAGAGATTGGTGCTGCATGTACGGCTTTAAGTAATAATATAAAGCAAAAATTAACCAAAGGTCCAGCAGGTGGCAGTATTACTTTATGACTGTCTCAGCTTTCAGGAATCCCCCTCTTGTTGAGACCTATGGTTGAGACTGGAGAATCACAGGGTTGAGTATTGCAAAAGATTGCAGAACATTACAGTCATTCAAATGTTATGGGGAAAAAAACATTAAAGCCATTTTTTTAATTTAGAAAATGTCAAGATATTACTGTGTATATAAATAAAATGAAATACAATTTAGGTCATGAGACATTTCATAAAATCTACGGTATTACAGTATCAAATAATGTTATGAATGTTAAGACTAAATAATTGTTGGTTATATTTATTAAGAAGTCAAGCAATTAGACTGATTTTATTTTAATAATAAAAAGCAGGATGTGTCTTTTTTTAATGTTTTAAAAACATGTTTTGCTCTAGTGCTTAAGCTCTATCAGTTAATTTCAAATTAACGCTCCGGTGTTAATTACTACCCTAACTCTTCAGTTTGTTATTGAGAGAAGTCACTCTCTCTGCCTGCGAGGTCCTCATTAGCTCATTGATTGAATCAAGTCATTGAATGTGAATAAGCATAATTTGAGCTCTCCATATTATCAGGTCGGTTGATAATTATTGTTTATGTTTTCGTGAGGTAATGATTCGGCTAATTAGTTGCACGGTGTCTCATCTGGTAGCATAAAAGGAAATCTTAAGTGACTATGTCACAGTGGTTGAATCCGAGTGATTATAATATTTACACGCAATTATAACTATTATATTTTGGTGATATTTTAAATCATTCGCAAACATTGTTTTTTGTTGCTGGTGGTGAATCAGTACTGCTTGTTAGGGAAATGAGTTGTTGAATGAAGTAATTGTTAGACAGTCAAAGGTCAGAGCTCTTGGGTCCAGTGGGTACGACCCCCGGTCAGCATCCATTACAGATTTCGTACCCACCCATCAGGACCCCAACAGTCTGGGCTTTCCTTACAGACTCCACTCAGGCTTTAGTTTACCCCCACCCCCCCAACCCAAATATCCAGACTGTATGTACTCTCCCCTCCTGCCTCCAGCTGCTGTGTATTTGATACATGACCCAGCGATCATTAGACAGTCTCCAGCGGGCCCTTTTGTAGCCCAAGGGGACACACACGGCGACAACAAAATATATTATTTTCAAAGAAGTATTTGTAAATGGAGGTAGTGTGAGGCAAAACCCCCTCCCCATATTTTACTAAGAAATGTGACTTGGATATGGTAAATAAGGTCTCTGTTTAGCATGCTTAATATTTGGTAATACATTAGACAGGGGGTAATACTATGTGTTTCCCATTATCCATGGACTCCAATCATTTAGGTGTAATAACCGCCAAAAAACATGGACTTTGCCATTGAATTTGTACTAAAAGATTAAGGAAAACATGTACTCCTTTGATCTTGGCTGTCACCCACTCCATCTTAAGAAGAAAAAAAAAGGTCTTAGCTCGTGTGTAGCAGCTGCAAGGGGAAGCTTGGGGGGGAGGCAAAGAAACCCGATAGCTCCCCCAGGCGTATTTTCAGTGCCCCGAAATAATGCATGCTTTTGATTTGTTACTTGTAAACACACCGGATAGCAGATCTGCGATATGACCCACAGTTTCACTCAGGCGTCTGTTTGGTTGTAAGAGGGTGGCAGCAGATGCATCCACAAAGCCACCGTGGAAGCACAAGGTGTGTTTTCTGTTCCTCGGTCAATTACTCTGCGGAGAATGGGATGTCTACATGTCCCCAAAGTGGAGAATGATTGAGTAGAGTGGCTGTAATTTATTAATTATGGTCTATATTCTTAGTCCGCGGTTCTGGCTTCATTCAATTTGTATGGATTGAGGAGTAATTACATTTGGTGTGTGTGTGTGTCTGTGTGTGTTAGGGAGAGAGAGAAAGAGCTAAAGATCTTTATGTCATAATTTAAAGTGCAGGTTACTAACGTTGTTCATCTTCATGTCGTCTCCTATTCTGAAATTTGAATGTTTCATGAGGTCTCTTTCTACCAGTTTATATAATCCACTTTATTCAGGAGTAGAAATAGAGACACTATGTTTTTAAAAAAAAGTCTCCTCGCTCACGTTGAGCCTATAGAGTGTCTACTAATTGCATAGCTGTGAGACAACAATTGAGTTCCTACGAGCGTAACATGACTACTCCACCCTGTCAGTTGATTAATATAAGAAAAGCCAGCAGACAAAAAAAGGCTGCAAATGCACCCCCAACATCCCAGCTAACAAATAACAAGACTCCGGTTACCGTAGCTACAGCTTGTCTCTCTGACTGGCTGAAGATTCCTCACGGAGGTAGCTTGTTAATTTAACTCCGCTTTAACTTTAACATTCCTCTCTGTTGGGCCATCTCCCAGGCTGCACGCGTCACCGCCTGTAATGGACAGTGCGGTGTGCTCGGTGCTTTGCACAGAGAAGGCAGAGAGGGGAGACATCAACCGCTTTGTGGTGATAATGAATGGAGGCACACAAAAGGCCAGGAGCTGGCCATTTACAAAGCCTGCACATTCTGCTGTCTAAATGGATGATATTGGTAGCCACTGCAGCTTTTCAGTTTTTTTATAGAGAAAAAACGTATTTTGGCATTGAAATAGAAATATATATGCAGTACCCCTTACTATTGATTATAATGAATTTATACTAGTTATTCACATATTTGGCTTTTGTATGCGCCTTCATGTAATTTCCTAAGCAAACAAACCGATATAAACATGGCTGAAAGCTGTGTACTTGAATGGATGCTTTTTGGCCACAGAAACAACAGTCATTTTAGTTTAACAGACGTGAACCAAGAAAAATATACTTAAAGTTGTTTCACCACATTTGATGGTTTAAGATTAACGATTACCCAATTGAAACTTGATGGAAGGATGATTTCTGTACCAAAAATTACATTCTGGAGAACATCCCAGGAAGAAATAACTATTAGTTTCAACAAAAATGAAAATTGTGTGGAAATCACCAGGATGTTCAGATTTCTGTAATTGCTGTCGCTCTCGAAAAGAAAACTGGAATTGGAAATAATTTTCAGCAGAGTGTGTGTAGGAAGCTACAGAGGAAAGCTAACCATGCAATTACACATGAGAAGGGTGCTGCAGAATCACAAGTGTCGGTAATGAACTAGTGAAGACACCCGCACTTACACAGTGGAAGGCAATGATATAAGCTGCCTTGTAATAGCGTGTGATTAAACTTGGTAACATTTATTTTTTCACTCGAGCACTAAGCCACAGTGAAGAGTCCTGTGGAGAGATTGTGCATCTGTCAATTTGAAGATGACTCAATGCATTTCCTCCAAATTCATAACCCAGCATGTAAAACCAGTCATTTTTAAAGGGCTCTTCATGCACTCTTTTGTTAATTTAGTTAAACATCAACCAGTAGAGTTCATGTTTTACACATTCCTACTTAACACAGGTGGAGATAGAATTTCAGTACATTTGAATACATGTTTAAAATAAAACTCCATACCATTAATATTCATTACAAAATAATTCCTTTGAATGTGGAATGAGCTACAGTTGTGCAAGACACATCGTAGGTAATACTTTATGTAATACCCACAAATGGTGTATGATTATACGGTTACATCGTATACGACATGCATTATAACTTACTATGCAAAAAAGAAAAAGAAAGACCGTACTCATATCATATTTATGAATGTTTTTTACAACAATTAACTGTTTATAAATATAAATATCTAAAATATCTCGTCCTTTTTCAAGCAAAAATATATATTCTCTTACAGCACCATCAAACATGAGGATTAGATGCCTTTCTTTGTCATATACTGAATACCTTTGAGTCTTAAACAGTGATTTAGATGAAACAACCAGTATGAATATTTCTTTGTGCTTTTGGAAACTGAAATCAGCATTTTTCCCGATTTCCTGACATTTTATTGACACAATTATTAATATGCAAATGATGTGCAGATTAAGCGGTAATTAAAATAACTGTTTCTTACAATAGTCTTCAGTGAAGTTCAATAGTCGATAATATTTCATTACTGTTCAGACCTTTGCTATTGCACATTTAATAAGACCATATAGGCTTCATACCATATTTTAATGAGTCTCTGACATCATCCAATTAAGCATCAAATGCTAAATGTATTATCTGAGAGAAACTTTCCTTTGGTCACCGGCCAAGATGTTAATTTGAACTCTGGAAGCTCAGCTATTTGTTTGGGGGATTCAGGATATTACAGTGATCCCCACAGTATAGCTTGTAAGATATGATCAATAGGGATTCATGAATAATGAAGAGGCCGAGTGGAGCAGAGACACTTAATTACAGTTTCAAAAGCCATTCTCGTTAATTGAGGAGAATAAAGGTGGTGAAGTGGACTGAACGGCGACATTAGAATTTTTTATCTGTGGCTTTCTTTTTCTTTTTTATTACAAAAAAAGACCCAGCTAAAAACACCAGCTGGTAATTAGCAAGTTCGTACTGTTTATCCCAAATTGATGCACTTCTATGTTTGACATTTAATATCGCAGTTTGTTTTGTGTGCTTGCTCTATTTCCTGTGACCACCTGTGAGCAGACTATCGTTCTTTTAATGTGAAGGCTAATCTGCTGCATATCCAGACAGTGTGTGGCCGCTGTGTGCAGCAGATACAGTATTAAATTGACAGCCCTGCCATCTGTTACAGTTATGTGAAATTATGGATAAACTAGTTAACAGACACTTTGGCCCATTGTCTGTTGTTTTGATAATCACCCTTAATAACGGACGGCATCAATATGGTCTTTAAACCTGATTTGGGAGTTAATGGAGTCAGATGGGGGCAGTCAGTGTATGCTCTGGGGCTAATGCTGTTAGAGATGTTCGTAAAGAGCAAATTAAATCAGTCATAGATTGTGCCCTCTCAAGTCAGCCAGACAACCAGACCCATTGAGGAGAAAAAGGAGGGGATTCATATTTTAACCTCTCACAGAAAATGCACTTATGTGGATGGAAAATAAAGTCGGAGCTGGGTGAATGAGCTGGATGTAAATGGTTATTGCAGAGAGTCTTAATGGCTTCCTGTTAGCTGCGGCAGATCGGTTGGAAGCAGAGACGGGGCTGTTTACAACTCAACCAGCCACGTTCTGCGTTCATGGCTTTAGACAAATGTAGTTACTAACATGGACAGTTATGTCATGTCACCAAACCAAAGTTTAGGCATCTTAATGGATGGTCCACAGTAGGTCAGTCATTCTTCAAACACAGTAATTGAGCTGATAGCATTCTGGGATAATTTTTTCTCTGATATGCTAAATTAATAAATAGATTAGTCGGTCATACCAAAACAAATATTCTTGTCTTAAATCATTGTAAAATGTTGCTGTTTGACGATTCACTAAACAATTACTCAGTTAATTGAACCAATAATCTACAGATGTATTGATAGGCAAGCCCTCTTCTTATTTCAGCATGCAATGATCCATTCTTTGCAATGATTTAAATCTTTTATAATTCGTATTGAAATTAAAAAATCTTCAATTGCTTTGCCAACTTGTAGAATCTAACTTTAAAATTCCTGATTATCCAGTGTTTCCTCTCTCAGCAGGTTGTTAATGTATTCACCCAGTGGGCCAAACCACACACCTAATTGCCTTGTTAAATCCATCCCAAATGACAGCACACTACTATTGGTCCGATTCCACCACATTTGGCGCGTCGACAAACATGTTTTGCCGCACCAGAGGTGTGTAACTCGGTGTTCCTCCCTACTGTGTCTGGTGAGACACGTCGTGGAACAAAGAGTCCGTCGCCTGAAGTCGGTGTGGCGTTACGCTCACTCAGAGTTCACCTGAAACACGGCACCCATGGCTCCAGGTAACGGCCCCCTCCGACTGATACCCCACTGGGATTTCTTTGACTTTATCAGGGGGAAGAATCTGAACTTTGTGAATGCCAATACACACAGGTGGTGACACGTCTCTACCCAATTACACAGATCTTCACATTATTCACGTTCGTCAGACCTGTCACGTCTTTGATCGCAAATAACCACATTTATACTTAAACAGTAACATCTATGGTCCAAATGCAAAGTCCATGAGACAAGTTTAGTAGATTATAGAAAGGATGTCTGAGACCAAATATGAGAATCTGTGCCATAAACATCCCTGCAGGTAGGAGCTAAGGAGATCACTATCAGCTGTTTGTGAGGAGGTGTTAGAATGAGCTGTCGTCTGGAGTTGAGAGGGTAAAAGGTGAACAGCGCACCAAAGGCAAGATTTATGACTATTAGCAGACGGTAAATAAGAAGACAGAGTTTGTCCCGTTGAAATGTGAGTAGTGATGTCATTCACATGACCCCCCCGACACTGAAAGTGAGAGGCGGATCAGGGGTAGACACGTTAGGTGAGCTCTAAGCCCTTTGTGTGACACCTAACCTTAGCCCCAAGGGTCCTGTGCTCCCCATTAACACACACACACACACACACACACACACACACACACACACACACACACACACACACACACACACACACACACACACACACACACACACACACACTCACACATTCTGCGCTTAACATTGTTTTGTTTCTTGTAAAATTGTGGAACATTCACAGTGAAAAGTGAGTTGGTTTCTATTTATCTATTTGCGGTTAATATTTAGGATGCAAGTTGTTGTTTTAATGTCAGCAGCTACTTCACGCTTTGTTCTTCTACTGTAATTGAGAAACAGTATCGTCTTTTCCCTCAGACACTTGCCTCAAGTGGCTGAGAGGTGATGTGCAGTGACAGTTCCTGTTCCTGACACACCTTCACCTGGCAGGCAGCTTGTCTAGACCACACAGAACTCCCCTCTTTGATTCCATGCCAAAGACGGTTGCATACTTCCTTTCTTTATTTGACAAAACACAGTCAATGTAGCAGTAAATCAAACCTGGTTTGATTTCAAATAATTCAGTATTTCTCTGGAGCTTTTCTGCTTGGTAACAGTTGTGCATTCAAGCCTGTTTGTCTCTGAAGGTTTAATGTTAAGGGCTGTCCAAAACTAAATAAATTCTTAGTTGAGAAATACTCATAAAATGTTGTTGACTTATCGATAAGTTTATTTAAACAACAGATCTGGAGAAATGTGCATCAAAAAATATAAAGACATTACTAATCGATTTAAAAAAATCTTAGTCACCTAATACCTAAACAACCCTTTATTCAACTCTAAGTTTCATTGGTTCATTTCTAATAACAATTTTTTTGATTCCATACAATTGACCTGTTTCTGTTCTTATTGTGGACTGTTATGAAAATACGTGTTATTTTATTATATTCTACTATATATTTCACTATAATCTATAAACATAATGCAATTTCAACCAAATACGATTTAATTTGCTCATAACAACTAGAATTAATCACCAAAGATTTGCCTTTTCGTATGATGTTACAGAAAACAATACATGCAAAGGGCTTTAAATAACATTTAGCAAAATATATCCTTAAAATCATCATTTTCTCAGAAAGGATTTAGGTATTCTCAAAAGACACAATTAAGGATAAAGGATCCAAAGGAAGGTGAGGCCGTAATGGAAGTAAATGTTTTATGGAAGCTTTCCCACATGACAGTATGTGTTTCAGAGTCTCTCCTGCTGCTCTACAATAGTTTTAATTTTTTTGCACGAGTTTGAATATAATGATGATTATGTCTGCTCCACATAGAGGGCAACTTTGGTTCCGTCAAATTAGTTAATTACTACTACTTTGGGCTATGATTTGTTAGAATAATCCCTCTCTGATGTCTTTGTGTTGGTTTGTACGCCTCCCTGCCACCAGCTGTCATGAAGCTATTTTTTCATGCATCCCAAATTAATAGACACTCATTCTGAAGTGTCTGATGCTATTGTAATACAATCCATGTGGCATTCGGCCAAGGCTGCAATATAAGACACAATTGTTCCTCCTGTTTTAATGCACAGTAATAAGTAAGTAAATGCTGGAAAGATGTGTCTGAAATCGCGGTGGCCTTTGTTGCAGATAATTAGGTTAGCAGCGAGAGTGTGCAGGTGTTGAGAGTGTGCTCGTGTTGTGTTATCGACTTGCTCATATTCGTAGGCTGTCAGGGGTGTCGCACTTCCCATCAGCCCCAAATACACCAACCTCTTCACTATTAAAATGATCACTTTCAATAGCAGACAAAGGAAAGAGGGAACATATCTAGTGCAGGGTATTCTCCCCACCTCTAATGCTTATCTGCCTTTTGATGTCGGCATAATAAAAGGCCTATTGGGCTTCCACAATGACCTGCAAAATGGACAAGGGCCGATACACTGGGCTCTGACTGTCGCTACCATTAACTAAAAGGCCCAGACATTATGGAGAGCCGGGGATGAAAGAACATGGAAAAAAAATCATAATTGAAAAATTGCCTAATGCTAAAGTGAAAGAAAATGGAACTGTGAAAAGGCACTGTAATATTCTGTTATCCCCTGTAAATGCAGCCAAACAAGAGATGCGGCGAGGCATTCTTTTTGAAATGGATGTGGTTCAATTACCTGCATGTCTAAATCTAGTTAAGGCTTCCATTGTGAGGCTCAAACATAACAGCAGTTTTGATGTAGTGTTAAAGCGTATTATGCCCTACAACCTACATAAAATCAAGAGAGCTATGACTCCATTCAAGATACAGAGGGGAATTAAAAGAGCTCACGGTGAGAAGAAGGTTCATTTAATATTCCAAAAGAGCTGCTAGATGTTTTAGCGGGGTTGTGAAAAAATATTTCTGTATTTTTTTTAAATCCCATTTCTGTGGATGACTAATTGGTTCCTGGATCACCTTGCATTTATTTTCTTCGTATTAAAAGAGATGTGATGTGTTCTAGCTTTAGCCCGTGATACATTTGACCAGTAGTAGACCTCCTACACTATCAAACTAGAATGGACCCTAAAAAAGCACGGTGTCTCTGATAGAAGATAATTGATTAAATACGTTAATAGACAAAAGATTAATCAGCAAAAGTCAAGTGTAGTAAAAAATGCTGGTTAAATATCTTTGGTCTTTTGACTGTTTGTAGGATGCAACAAGTCTTTTTCTTTTATTGTGACGGGAATTTTTCCGATAAAGAATAAACTAAACATGCAGTGAAAATAATGGACAGGTTAACCAGTAATGAGAACAATGTTAATTGCAGCCGTCACACATACATTTGGTAATTTGCAGGACGATGTTAGTAAGAGTCTGTTTTAAATATGGTTGAAAATTGGATCCTTTTAGAGATGTCCAGTTATTTCTAGATAATTTTAAGGACTACATTTCAATGAAAGTTACCTGCTACACATTATTTAAAAATAAAGTTGTTTAAATTGTTGAATTACCCATACTGTCTTTTAAAAATGTCAACCAAAATAAAGCGTTTTGGCAGCTTTGTCATAATTAGCTGCAAATCAAAAAATGCTTTTAGGGTGAAATCTTTATATATACAGTCTATGGTGAAAATTCAAGTTTGACAGAGTTGTTTTTACCCTTTTAAAAAACCCAGTCCCTTCCAAGAGGGATCAGTAGGTTTATTCTGGTCCTTCAGTCTTCAAGGCCCAGACTAAGCCACAGCTTGTCCATGAAGAGGTCAAATGTGAAGCTCATGAGTGTCTGCTTAGCTCTGGGCCAAGTCAGAGGTCTCAGTCAGGCTTATGACCCGAGCGTGAGCCCCTGATATCCCAGAGCAGCGTATTGTTTATTAGCCTCTTCTGTTCTGACTCTCGCTCATAACCTTTATTATTTATATTTCTTTTTCCTGTCTTTCTCTGCAGGTGACAGTTAAAATGTACAAGCGTGGACCGCAGGGCTGGCTGGGTAAATCCCTGATCGCCACCACCACCATCCCCCCCAACACCTGTGTGATCTTCAGGATCAGCGGGGAGGAAACAGATGCCAAAATCTCAGCAAACACCATTCACAGCATCACACTCAGCCACTGACTGTGTGTATTGGCAAAACAGAGGATAGCATCACTACATAGCGCTGTGGGAAGAGGAAGCTCTCTTTAATATAACAAAAAACGTTGCTCAAACCTTCTCATATTTTTACGAGTGCCTTTACAGTGTTTGTACTTTGTGATATAATATCTTAAAAACACTTTCTGAATGTCTTTCCATGATTTTGCGATTGTCAGTGGCAATGATATGTTAATGCAGATGGTTTCATAATTATCCTGATTAACTTTCCCTTGTTTTGGATTTCTAGGGCTGGCCCACACTTTACACTAGCCATTAATTAATCATTACACTAGCTGATTGTCACGTCAGTTCAGAATTGAAGTGTTTAATGTGTTAATTGTGGCGGTCACAAAGCGGTGGCCCCTGCCCCGATGAGGGCCGAGCATCCTACTGCCTCTGTGGGATTCATGGGCAGTGATTTACGGTCTGTTTAGACGGTGTAACTGTAAGGTGCTTTATTAATATGCTCCAGCGCACGGAGGAGATGATAACATATTCAAGAGCGCACAGGCGCGGCCACCAGCTACAATTCATAACTGAGTCACTTTCCATCAGTTACCAGGCTTGCACAGCTGCGCTAACAGCTAGCAATTGTATTTACTGTGCCTGGTAGTGGGCAAAATGAAGTTATTTCCATCAAGATATCAGTGCCTTTAGCTAATGCAATAGAAGCAGCTCTCTGAGTTGATGGTATCTCTTTGCATGGCATCTCTCTACCTGAAACATCATTACACTGTACTCAAGCTCCTCACTTTTTCAAACGTCTGTTTACCATTTTACCTGAGGGTAAGATTTGGAAAACAGCACTGTATTCTTTACATTTGTACTTGCACATTTGTAAGAATGTGGTTCTTTTTCAAATCTTGTTTAACATTGCTTGAATTCAAAAGGTTTTGGACAAATGTGTTGTCATTTTTAAGCTTACCAAGAGTTTCCTCAGGAACGGTTTTGTACACAGAACTTAAAAAGCAATATTGATAATATCAGACAATATGGGAAGAAAATGATTTAAAGAGATATGTAATCCTGAGTGCTAGGTGCATGCAGGTAAATATGAATGTTTTTGCTCCTTTTTTTTGCTTTAAGCACTTTCAGTATCAAGCCAACTTGATTGTAACCCAACCCTTCAGTTGATTGATTTAGGCATGGTTGTTTTGTAGGTGTTTGTGTTTATATTTGTCATGGTATTCTCAAATGTGTTTTTACATGTATTTTTACTATCTGGTGTCATAATAAAAAGATGTAATGCTTTAATTCTTATTATTCAAAGCCACTTGTTGTCACTACTAGGCCACAAGGTTTCTTCAAAGCTCCCTGTGCACGTTGAAAGCATGCAGCGCGTCTCCAGCGCGGTGACGGCTGGATATTAGGACTGGATGACTGGCCATGGGGACAAAGCAAGCTCTGTCGGGCAGCGTGGTGGCGAGAGGGAGGGGAAGCTGAGCGGAAATGCACATGGCGATCAGACCAGAACATAGTGTGACAAGGTAACAAGGTAAACTGATCCCAGGCTGCAATTCCTCTGCAAACTGAATCAATGAGGGTTCTGTTAAAGAGGAAATGCTCCCGGATATCAAGTTTATGTGAATCTATAGCACAATGGATTTAGCAGTAAATATGTTTTCCTTCGCAGTAAACATGTGCGTCATGTAACCTACAGATAGCTTTTCTGTACATCTGTAGGATGAATCCAGGAAGTGGATGAACTACAATTCCCTGCAGTAAGGCCAGCTGTCTAACTTTGACCTCTGGCCGTTGGGCAAGGTCCCCAGGGTTGCCAGGTCAGGTGATTGCTTTGACCTTTCCTTTGTACAGGACATGGAACTGTAGGGCAGCGGACACGAAGGACCGATCCCTCTCGAATGACATGCGAAGAAACGAGTCACAATCTCAGCCATTTAAGGTCCGAAATCCTGCACCACAGTGCTGTATTCACACAGGTCAGTACTCAAGGACAACAAAAGTTTGACCGAACCCCGATCTTCTGTTTTCTGCTTCAGTTTGACTACCTCTAAGGTTCTGATCAGACGGGGGTCAATACAGTCTTTTTAACTCTGTTTTCCGAGATGCAGGCCTGTTTCCTCTGTGAAGGGCTCTAGAGATGAGGAGATTGTGTTGTACTGAGAGTCTAACCCCACAGGAAAAGCTGTGTTTACTGTAAGTGGGAAAACGTTTAGTGGTGACTCAGATTGTGCCCTTACACAAACACAATGTGAACAGTAACTGGTCTGTAACTGTCTGCATTCATATTCAGCAGTTAACAATCACTCTGAAGCTATCACGGCTGCTATCTTGACTTTACATTTTTCAGATCAAAAATCTTTGTATTGAGTTTCGAACATGCATAACCAGTGTTTGTCATTTAGAAATGGAAAGCAAAATGTATGCATGCAATTGAGACAGTGGTTTGTAATGTTTATGATTACAAGAAACACAAACAAACAATAACAACGACTAAAATAATCCCCTACATTCACTGCCTGTGAGCCTCGTACACACGATTATTTACCAGGAACATTATTAAATGTATATATATGCATATAATACATATGCATATACATACATGCAACAAATACATATACTCATACACATCTGTATACATACACACATACAAATATATGCTGCAGATAAGCTATACCAATAACAGATCGTTTTACAGAGTGTGGAATGCATTTTAAAAAAAGATTCCTAGGCTTTCTGAAATGTCCTGTTTGAGTATGACTTTACATTTTTGACACCATTATTGAAGCTTAAAGTGTCAGTTCACCCAAATGAAAGTAGGAATGTGCTACAGCGTTGGTTTGTACCTGCTCACGATACAAGTGTTAAGATGCTGATGGTAGTCAGGTATAATGCCTACTGTTCTCGCGGTTTAGTACATTAGCATGCCAACATTTGCTATTTAGTTCTAACAAAAAGACCAGCTGAGGCTGGTGGTAATGTCATTAACAAAACAAAAATAAAATGTATTTGTAATGGTGACCATAATGGAAAAGTCAGGGTATCAGTATAATCATAATGATGATACATAATAATGTCTGTGACACATTTTATGGCAATATGTTTACAAGTTGTTGAGATATTTCTTGTCTTGAGAAAAGTGATGGACAAACCGACATTCCTATCTATAACTGAACAGCTACGATCTCTCCAGAAGGTTACTCTGGATAATCTAAAGACCCTGCTGTCAACAGTTTTCACTCAAACTACTTACTTCCCAATAACAACTGTTGACAACGTTAAGACCATTCACCAACGCTCCTTAACCTGAAGACCTCGTTTCTCTTTTTTTACCCCTTTCTTGCAAAAACAGTTAAACCCATTCAAGATTCTAAAGGGGTTTCAGATAAAACAAACTAAAAAGGGAAAGTGAAAATGTGATGCCCCCAACTTATATAGATATGGAAACTATGTTAAGGGGTTAACATGAATTGTATCAAAGGGGCAGAAACAAAACATGCACATACATAATTACAGGAACTGGGAAAAGGTTCATGCAGTGACTGAAATAAAAACTCCTTTCTTAGCACCAGTAGGCCTATTGATAAAAAGCTGATGTATCCAAAGCAGCTCACTAAAACACAACCGCTCAACGCAACTACTAACTACACCCGCGGTCAGAGAGCGGAGATGTTTACCCTATGGGATGTAATATGACGCGTTTGACGTATGACCTTAAAAAAAAGCCGTTTTTAAGAGCAGAGCTCAAAATTGCTCCTTTCCCTCTGAATTCCTGCCCTTATCTCTCGTAAAACATATCAAATCCTACATTCACTTTTTTAATTGTAATTTTCAAGCAAGTTTAAGCATAAATGTAGAAAAAAAAAAAACCTGCAAGATGCTCTTTAAGAGTTCTTGTGAAAAAATGCATCGTGATTTTTTTTTGTATGCAAAAGGATAGTGTCATTATGTTGAAACTACATTTTGCAGGCTTTTATACAACTACTATGTGATAATGAAGGGAGGCAGGCTGTCTGTCTAATGCCCACCACCCTTTATTCTGTGACCACTACTTTACTGAACAGCAACAAAGCTGTCAGTGTGAAAGCAGCAGAATACACAAGAGATTAAATGTGTTCCACCTCTTGCAGATATTCAGAATTAAGTAGGGTACTCAAAAGTAACATCAAGACTCTATTACATTCTGACTTATTAATACACTTTAGTGTCCAACAACAAAATAATAAAGAGTATTTCATTGTGTGTTCACAAAGGAATAAATACAATGGGCACATGGGTAGCAACAGGCAGGGGGCTGCATAAATTAGCCCATCTTTAAACAACCCCTTAAAAAGCACCACACTTGTAAAAAGCTACAGGACAACAAAAGACATACAGGAGTGAATGAAATGAAGCTTCCTTGCCAATTACTGCGGCGAACGTGGCCGCACTGGGGCTTTTTGTGCTTCACACAGGCAGTCTTTTCTCCCCTTGTCCCTGGCTATTGAGAGGGATACATTAGCCAGGCGGGGATGCAGGGCTGGATGGATGGAGTGGAGAGGAGCAGAGCGGTGCGTTCGCTGTCATACAGCTCACTTCACACCCGGTGTTACAGACCTCTCTTATGACTTCACTCACAGTGCTCACACAAAATGTGATTCTGAACAATGTCATTTTCTACCTGCTTTCTAAGGCTTTGCAAAAATAATCCAGACGTGGAGAATATCTGCTCACTTTTATCTGATATGTTGCAGTGATGATGAATCGTGTGTGTGTGTGTGTGTGTGTGTGTGTGTGTGTGTGTGTGTGTGTGTGTGTGTGTGTGTGTGTGTGTGTGTGTGTGTGTGTGTGTGTGTGTGTGTGTGTGTGTGTGTGTGTGTGTGTGTGTGTGTGTGTGTGTGTGTGTGTGTGTGTGTGTGTGTGTGTGTGTGTGTGTGTGTGTGTGTGTGTGTGTGTGTGTGTGTGTGTGTGTGTGTGTGTGTGTGTGTGTGTGTGTGTGTGTGTGTGTGTGTGTGTGTGTGTGTGTGTGTGTGTGTGTGTGTGTGTGTGTGTGTGTGTGTGTGTGTGTGTGTGTGTGTGTGTGTGTGTGTGTGTGTGTGTGTGTGTGTGTGTGTGTGGTGTGTGTGTGTGTGTGTGTGTGTGTGTGTGTGTGTGTGTGTGTGTGTGGTTTAATTCCTCATCGTATTTAAATCTATGATGTTTTGTTGTTTACTAATTGGTCAAATAAACCTAGGTCTGATGTCAGGTATGTTGTTTTAAAAAATACATTTTCTTTTCACCTTTTGCCAGTCTCATTTTGAAATGCAATATTTTCCAGATGCACCATGGAATGGTGTTTGGTGATTTTCCATCTCGAAGTCTACATTAAAACCTCCTCAAAAGTCATTGAAAAGTGACATTTGTCCAGTGAGTGTTTCATCTTTTAATAAGTACCTTCTTCGATTTGAAACATGATCATTTAAATGCTGTCTTTGACATGCAAAGTCTGACTGCAACACTTGTTAGGTTTAAGTTTCAAATGTTTGTTTCTCTTTTTCACGTAAATGCCTCTGGACCACCTCACTAAATGCTCAGCTCTTTATTTTAATGGCAATCCCAGCATACTATGCAGGGTCATAGTGTGTAAATGTGCTGCCTGTGACAGCTATCAGCAAGGTTAATGCTGCGGATAACAACATCCATCATTCACTTTCATTAGCGCTGTCCTCTGACCTGCTCCATATAATGTTGTCAAATGTGTCAGGCGCCAGATTATTGGGAGGTATGATGATCAATAGATAAATAACAGGGAGTGCGTGGAGCGGCTGCAGAATAAACCTCCATCCAGCATTCTGCCGCCTGTCACAAATCTGAAAAACAAATGGACTAGCCCGAGGCAAGAGCCATCAATAATAATATAATGTGTGGACGATGATGAATTAGAGCCAGACTCCTCAATGCATCGCCGTTCTACGCACAGAAAAACCTCACTGGCTGAATGCATTGATCTCCGTATGCACATTAGTTTACTTAATCTGCATTTGAGTCGATGGGACAACACAACGTTTCACTTCACTGAATTCAGAAAAGTTAATAATGTCCGATAATCAAAAGCTGTTTATGAAAGCACCTCTTTTTGTGCGCCATTGATTGGACTGTAATGCACTGATAACTCAGACAGTATGCACTTAGGAAATGACAAATGTATTTTGTATTCAATAACATAGATTTTTCCCATGCTTAACCACAGGTTGTAGTTCAAACACACATGTCCACATCCATAAAAAAGTATTAACTAATATTGTCCCTTTTTAATGTTCTCATTGAACTTATGA